CAGTAGCATCCTGGATCCCAGATTTGTTAGAGCTGAACTTTTATCTTGGCACTGCCGAATCATAGTTAGCACTGAGCGAGAAAATTGTATTGATCAAATCGATTCTTAGTGTTGAACCCTCATATAGCATTATAGATCTCTAACCCCTCCCGTTGAAAAAGGAGAAAATGAACCATTAGTTACTAGGTGAAATGTTCGCTTATGCTCAGTTTTACATGGGCGGATATTCAAATTCTTTATATGGGTGATTTTTTAGGTGAAGAAATAAAATACTTGGAGATCCAATTTTACTAAAATGGTTGCTTCTAAGAGTCAAAGCAATTCAACGTTTGATTTAATTGATTTTGATTTATAACACATGTTAATCAAGCTATTGTTGTTGAAAGATGTCTAACTTTGCTTTTTTGTTTTGCTCAAATTGTCTCTTTCTTTGATGCAATTTGAATTCTGCTTTTGTCACTTTCAGCCATCGAGAATCTAAAGAATAAATATTTTTCTACCGCTGTTGTTTTTCAAAACTAAAAGGGAACATCGGCGAACTTGGAGAAATGAAATAGATTTGAATCAAAATGGAACCGGTTTGTTACAGCATGTCAATTCTGGAAAATTATATCACCCCTTCCCCCCATAGAAGTAGCCGATTAAAATTCACAAGATCGTGAAATAGTAGCTAGTTGCTCTTAAGTACAGAAGTTCCCGATCACAGCTATCAATACGTAAAAAAACTGAGGATGGACCCGCGTAGTATTATAGTCCTTTAGATCAGATTTGTTAAATATTTCTTAAAATAGAAAAGTACAAAGCTAAGTTTATATGAAGAAAATCAAATTATTCGGACATGTTTTTTCGCCGCTATTTGTTTTTTTTTGGAATCCGAAGCAGAACCGAAAGGGAATTAATGTTTCTGTTCTGGGAGTGGTAGCTCAATAAACATCAAAAAATCTAAGCGTTCTTATGAAAATAAGAGCCAATTAAAGTTTGAGCATGAATAGACTCAAGTTTGGGTATCATAAAACTTTTTAATACCCCGTATATTTATTGTCGTTAAATCATACAACTGATACTTTGCCTATTTTGTTTCCTAATCGATTTAAACAAATTTCTATACCAGAACTTTCGGTGTAATCAAATCTTTTTGCGCAATTTTGATGGATTTTTAATAATTTTGTTGGTTTTCAATACTACGCTTCTTGGGGTTTAGAAGCGTCGTCTTGAATTTTGTTAGCATTTATACCTAGTTTTTTGTTTTCTTATTGAATCTTAGCAATTTATAGGTTCCTTCGCACTTGAGCTAGAGGTAACGCTGTTGTATTTGCAGCGCCTAAGTTCGGGGTTTCGAATCCCGGCCGGACCTTGTTTGTTTTCAGCACGTATGCAATTGAAAAATGTTTTCCGGTAAAAATTGATTTGTCGGACTTTTGTCTATCTGCTCGATTTTTGTCGGTGTAGATGCCACATTATGGATTATTTCTGCGCTGTGAGCAATCATCATGTTAGTTGAAATCTTTTTAGTTGTAGTTTCAGGGTGCCTAGAAACTTTTAAAAAATTCTTAAATATATATTTTTTTCGACTAAACTGGTGTCTGCTCAAAGGTTGTCGGCTTTGTTTCCGCTTTATAAGTTTTTTATTCATTGCTAATTTTAAAATTCAATGGTCTTGCGTGGCTGTTTTCCTAGAATTGCTGTAAAATAAGAACAAAAATTATGACAATAAATAGAGTTTTTTTCTAAGACCCTTTAAGCCACCGATTTTCAGAAAAGGGGTATCAATGGGAAGACTGCCTACTTCCCTATGTGCTTGCATTATTCCTAGTCTCTTTTTATTCCTGTGCGGGCATTAAAACTTTGTTGGGGCAGTATTTGACCCATAATTTTTTTAAAAAAATTTGTTAGTTTTTTTTTTCAGAACTACCCTCTCAAATCTGAGATTTTTGTTGCAATGAATAGAACGGGGTTGAAAAGCTCCCTAGCATTAACGGCTACACTCATTTTTACGCAAGTTATCGCTGTCAGAAAAGTCTAGTTTTTGGTTTTTTTATCGTTTTTTTCATATTTAGGCTGTTTCAACGTAATATTTTTGCATGTTTAACAAAAGAATTCAGTGCCGACGATTCAGTGCAAAATAGTATAACTGTCAAACAAGTGGTCTCCAATCTTTCTTTCTCTTTATCTTTTTCTGGATTTTGTATCTTTTTTTTCTGTCTTTTTTATCCTTCTTTTTCGATCTTCTATCTTTTTTTTTGTCTTTTCTATCTTTCGTCTATCTTTCTTTTTTTATCATTTTTTTCTATCCTTCTTCTCGATCTTTTTTCTTTTTTTAATTTTTTTTCGATCCTTTTTCTATCTTTTTTTTCTATTTGTCGATCCTTCGTTTTGATCTTTTTCTATATGTTTTTTCGATACTTCTTTTTAAATAACTTTTTTATATCACTTTTTATATCACTTTTCTTATATCACTTTTTATATCACTTTTTTATATCATTTTTCTGATTTTATTTTTCTTATCACTTTTTATATCACTTTTTTGCATCACTTTTTTATATCACTTTTCTTATATCACTTTTCTTATATCACTTTTTTTATCACTTTTTCTATATCACTTATTTATAACAACCTTTATATTACTTTTTTATTATTCTATTATACTTTTAAATACGGGCTTCACTATCTCGCCATGTTTAAGCTTCTTCAACGAAATTTTTTTACATAATTAACGAAAGAATTTTTTCACGTTTAAGCTATATCGTATATTGCAATGGTTAAGATTTTTTTTTTTTCGATTTTCCAAATTGATTTCAGTGGTTATTCCACCCAGTTTAAAAAAAGCAGCCCAATGATGGGATGCTGTCAGAGTTCACAAAGTGGCTGCGATTTTGGCGTCCAATTAAGAATGCTCAAATTTTCTTAGTGTACGAGATACGACGATTTTTGATTTTGTTTTCAAAGATTTTCAGAAAACTCAATTTACAAAATAAAGTACAAAAATTGAAATTCCCAACCCGGTAGTTGGGTGCTGTCAGAGTGCTCTCAAAGATTGCGAACCTTGCCTCCAAATGAGACGATTCAAGTTCTTGTAGTTTTCGAGATATCACGTTTTTAGATTTTTGTAAAACAATTTTCAGAAAACTTGAATTAATTATTGTTTTCAAAATTTGAAATTCTATACCCGTTATTTGGGTGCTCTCAGAGTTCTCTCAAGGATTGCGAACCTTGCCTCCAAATGAGACGACTCAAATCCTTGTAGTTTTCAAGATATGACGTTTTTAGTGATTCAACAAAAAAATTTCAAAAAACTTGAAATAGTTTTTTTAGAAAGTTTGAAATGCCTTACCCTATAATTTGGTGCTTTCAGGGTACTCTCTGAAGTTGCGATTCTTGTCTTCAAATATGCCTGTTCAAGTCCTTGTAGTTTTCGAGAGATGACGTTTTTAGTGATTCTTCAAAAAATTTCTAATTCGCAACCCTGAAGTTGGGGGCTATCAGAGTATTCTAAAGAATTGCAAACCTTGCCTCCAATTGTGACTGCTCAATTTCTTGTAGTTTTCGCGTTATGACGTTTTTTGTGATTTTTTTAAAAAGTTTTCAAAAAATTTAAATTGATCTTTTTTTCAAATTTTGAAGTTCCTTACCCTGTAGTTGGGTGCTGTCAAGGTACTCTCTGGAGTTAAGAATGTTGCCTCCAAATATGACTATTCAAATCCTTGTAGTTTTCGAGATATGACGTTTTTTTTTGATTTTTTTCAAAAAAAGTTTTCAAAAAACTAAAATTAATTATTTTTTCAAAATTTGAAATTCCTTACCCTGTAGTTGGGTACTGTCAGAGTACTTTCTGGAGTTGCGAATCTTGCCTCAAAATATGACCATTCAAATCCTTGTAGTTTTCGAGATATGACTTTTTTTGATTTTTTTTCAAAAAAAAAGATTTCAAAAAACTAAAATTAATTATTTTATCAAAATTTGAAATTCATTACCCTAAAGTTGCGTGCTGTCAGGGTACTCACGGGAGTTGCGAATCATGCCTCCAAGTATGACTGTTCAAATCCTTGGTTTCGAGAAATGATGTTTTTTTTATGATTTTTCCAAAATTTCAGCTAACTAGGCTAGAAAAATTCAAAAGTTTTTAATATCCCAACCCTGTAATTGGGTGCTTCCAGGGTACTCCCAGGAGTTGTAAATCTTGCCTCCAAATATGGCTACTCAAATATTTGTATTTTTCAAGATTTGACGTTTTCGAGATGACGGAAAATAGGAAGTAAAATAATTATCAAGTATGAAATTACCAACCATGTAAATGGGTGCTGTCAGAATACACTAAAAGCCTGCAGATCTGGTTTCCATTATATGCGGTTTTTCATGAGTCGTCAAAAATTCGAAGCACCGGAGTTACACGCTAGTTTTTTCATTAAAACAATTTTTAAACATTTTGCGCAAGATTTTGGAGATTATAGCCTTCTTAAACTTTGCTGGGCTACCTATGTAAGATGCTCACTGTGTCAGTGATTGACCCAGTGTGTTTTGTCAGTAATTGACCCAGTAGTTTTTGAGTAATTTTTGATTTCTAAAAAAGGTACGAATGATTCGTTTTTGTGGTAAAATTTTGGGCCCGACTTTCGTAAAACAAATAGCATCATATTAATTCTGCTTAGATTTTAACGAATTATGTCTTCATCATTTTGCACCTAACGTCAAACCAATTTGAGAAAAATGCCTTTTAAATTTCAAATTTTATGCTTTTCATTAGGATAATTTAAATCAGCACTGTAGATATATCGCTAGTGAACCTTCTATTAGACATATATGATATTTCAGTAAATTTCAATAAATGTTTGCATGAGAAAGCTAGTTTTTCGGACAAATATTGTAATAAAATTGCCTGTAAAAATCAAATTTGCATACAAAATTTGATCCGACTCGGAAGATGCCTCTTCCAATAAATTTAAAATCATTCTACAATAAATGTAGAATGATTATTTAGGCTGATGTTTTGCTTTTGCAGAGTAGGATGGGCGATGAGAGAGAAGAGGTTGTTGATTCAACATGCAACGATGAACAGCGCACAAAGGAGTCTCTCTTGTTAGAAGTCGAACTTCTCAAAATGAAACTGACACTACTGACTGCCACCACGTGCTCAAAGGTATGAAAATTACGAAAGGCCATTTAAATTACGATGTTACTGATATGGTATAGTAGATACCAAAAATGAAAAATTGCGTTTTGTTTGAAAAAGACTTTAAAAGGACCGAATTGCGACTGAGCTCGGCCGAATCGGCTTAAAATGATGTATTACTTGTCGAAGTGTGATTAAATTACCTGAAAGACTGCAAAATTTCTGCACGGCTTCTGTCATGGCTTGTATGAAATGTTGCAAAAGTTCTTCACTTGTATCATAACCCGCTACTAGCAACGGTTATTTCTGATAGAGTCTGTCTTTCCACAATATCCAATTCCTGTCGTCGTTAAGTTCGATTTCGTTGTCCAGTGTTGGTAGAGTGAATGATAATGGGAAAGATATAAGCAGCAGGCTTGGTAAGGAGAATCAAAAAATGAAGCGAAAAGTGTTAAAGGAATTTTACCTTAGCTGGGACAGTAACAAGAAAGCAGAACCAGTCGATTAAGTTGAAAACCAAAATGAAAGATTTTCCCCTCAAACTTTTGAGTAGGTTGTTGCGCATTAAAGTTGCTCATTGAAAGTTCGAATACAAGGTTTCCTCGTTTCTCTAGCTTTGTTGTAGTAACGCTCACTTTTGCTGGTTTTTTTTGTGGAGTTTGTTTTGAAAGATTTAGTTCTTGAAATGAAAATACTCCAATTAAATCAAGATTTGAAACAAGGGTAGCCGGTTACTATGCAAGTAGCACAGAATGTTCCGAACATAGTCTTAAAAATACAACAAAAAAGTTTCTCAAATTAGTATTGTTATTTTAAGCGTAGTGTGATAAAAGGAGGTGAACGTGAAACTAGAGAGTAGGCAAATTCGATTCATTGCAAAATAATGAAATTGAAAAATAAAACACTTAGCAAATTATCAAAAAAAATTCATTTTTTTGCAGTTCTTTGAATTTTCTTATTCAAAAAGCCGCTAAATACTCAAAAAAACTAACGCTACTCGATTAAAACTAAAAACAAGTTTTCACGGTTTAAATTACATTATTTTAAGCTTTTCAGCCATTAAAATTGGCTACTGTATGCCTGTTGGCTCGCTCGCCTTATTCCCCCGAAATAAGACAAAAAAGTAAAAATTTCTAACCATTTTTCCCGACTCTTTTTTTATTTTTAAATTTAGAATTAAGACTAAGAGGGCTTTTACAAGATATATCACTGAAATCTCTCCGATGATTACTTGGTAGCTGATTTTTCGTGAAAAACCAAAAAAGAGAAAAAAAACTAAAACGTATCCGAATACTAATTTCTCCCCATTTTTCAAATGTTCGGAACAATAAGTTGGTAGTTAGTCAACTATTTTTTGTCTTTCTGGCTTGCCTTCTCGCTTAGGTAATACCTCTTTTCTCGGAAGACAGATCAGATCTGTTTTAATTCAAAGGCAATGCACTGAGTTTTTGGAGAATTGTTGTTTTTTTTGCAACCAATACAATACATTCAGAGGCAATCAATTTTTTGAGAATATGCAGATTATTTTGATCATTTCGCGCTGCAGATCTGCTCACTGTAATTATTAAGGAAATGCTCTCAATAATGTTTTTTTTAGACTCTGTAGCCTTGAGAAAATTTGATGGTCTTGAAATTTCGATATGGATATTCTTGCGCAGTTTTGAGTTTTTTAAACAGCAGAGGGAATAACTATTTTAAGTTCGAGTGTATATCTTCATTTTTTGAAATTCATAAATCAATATCAATACTTTTCTTGCAAGATAAGGTGTAGTACTAATGCAGTGATCGATTACAGTTTTTTTGGGTTGAAAGATGTTCATAAATTTTGTGATAGTTTCAATCTGTTTCAGAAAAAAAAAGATTTCAATATAAGATAGAAATTTGCTGAAAAACGCTTCCATCTCTGTCGCCATATGTTAACCCTTCTTTTCTTGGCGCGTGTTTGTTAATGTTGGAGCGATCCTTTCAGGCTAATCCTCAAAAACACTGGACTTTAAGCTGTTCGTTCAATATTTTCTGTTGCAGCTGAAAAGAAATACTTGGTTTATAGTTGTACATACAGCTAAAATAGTTGGTGTATTTTATATCGGTAAGAAATAGTTGCAGTTTCTGATATCTAATTTAAGCCAGATAATTGGGTCTTTTTTCTAATTATCTATAAGGATCCTGACAGGCCAGCAAATTTAGACCAGCGAAAATCATTGCATTTAAGTTTTGGTAAATCGAATGTCAGAAAAGAAGATGAGAAACATTTTTTTTTCAAAGCGTGTTTTTTATTTTCATCCCATTTGAATTATCCCTATTGCCGTTTTGTCGCTGTTGTTTTCAATGTGCAGCTTCGCCTGTGTAAAATTCAACTGTAAATCATCCAATTTCTGAGTACAGTTCAGTTGCTGTTTTAGCGAGAGTTAAGCTATAGCCACCTGATTAAAGCCCATTTTTTGTTACCTGGTGTTGCTAGTCAAGCTTCTATGAAAGAACGCGAAAATTAGGCTCGGTGTAAGTAGTAGTATGGGATTTTTTAAGAAGCCGGAAATTCAAAAAAAAGTGCCTGGTTCCACGGGTAGTGAATTTGAACCAGGCATCAGAGATAGTGAAATCGCCCTAGCTCCGACCACTAGGCACAGCGGAGAGTGGCTTGAGATTTGAGTCCGGAGGGGACGTGCTTTTTTGCTTACTGGAAATTATCTGCTGTTCGAAAATCCAATCGAATATAGTGGTCTGCTTATTTTCGTCAGCTTAGTTCTTGCTGCATGTACGATGTTTTCAGATTTAGCAATTTTTACCATTTGAAGAGTGCTATTTCTATTATTTTTTTTTGGTTCATGTAATTGAGATCAAAGAGTTTACATAATTTGATTTCTGTTTTGCGCTTTTATATTTTCACCGGCTTATATTCTAGTGGCTTAGTTGCGTCATATTGCATTGTTTGAAGGGCATTATTTTTGTAAGCAAGTATCATGGTGTTTCAAGTGTTGTTTATTGTAGTTTCGGGGGGGGGGGGGGGCTTCAAGTTTAATTTAAAAAAAAATTTAAAATCATTTTTTTCCGGCTCAACAGCTGTCTGCTCGACGATTGTCGGCTTTGTTTCCGCTTAAAAAGTTTTTTTTCCGTTGCAAATTAAGTTTACAGTTGTTTTGCTTAGACTTTTTGCCTTGAACTCCTGTTTCATAAAACATGAATCATAAAAATGTATGGGATTGTGTTTTCTTATTTTTTTTTTGAGACCCTTTGGAAAAATTTTTTCACTTTTTGCAAAAAGTATAGTTTTCTTTAAAAACTATTCAACCGATTTTCAAAAAAGGTTTATTAATGGAAAGACCGCCTACTCCCCTTTCTTGCATACTCCTCCAGTCTCGTCGTGCGTAACCCCTCATTTTACATCATTTGCAAAACAAAGGCCGTGGGTTCTAATCCCGCCTCGGTCATGGTTGGAGGGGTCCCAGTGCCATCCGCCTCCTCAATATTTGACTCATATTTTCGATATTTTTTTCGTTATCTCAAAAAATACTCTCCCAAATCTGTGATTTTGTGTTTACTGAATAAAACGGGCTTGAGTATTTCCCCTGCATAAGCTACTACGCCCAATTTTTGTGACTCAAAAAGTTTTGGCACTGGGACCAGTCAAATTTTTGATTTCTTTTTGTAACTTTTTTTCGTTAACCCACCGGTCCAGCTCCCACCTTTCAACCTTAGACCTTTTATTCCGTGGGAGAGAGGGAGATGTCATCCGTTTTACCGTAGCCTGTCGCACCTTGAGGAGGCGGATGGCACTGAGACCCCTCCAACCATGACCGAGGCGGGATTAGAACCCACGGCCTTTGTTTTATAGGCCCCCGCGTCTTATCCACTCGGCCACGGCTGCTGCTCTTTTGAAAATTTTCGACTTCTCTCGAGAACAAGGCTCCCAAATCTGAGTCTTTGGGTTCAATCAAAAATATAGGTTGCGTGAATCTTTTCTGCATCAGTGGCTACTTCCAATCTTAATTACAAAAAAAGCTGTGATTATCGGAAATAACAAATTTTTGATTTGCAGACAGTTTTTGGAGTTTTCTCGATAACTTTTCTGCCAAATCTGATGTCATAAGTTTACTCGAAACAGGAAATTGTTGAAAGCCTATCATTTAAATTGACTACGCCCAATTTCTGTTAGAAAAAAGTTTTGGTCTACAAGCAAGTCAAAATTTTGAAACTCCGACCCTTTTTGGGAACTTTTTGACTTTACTCGAAAACAACCGTACTAATTTTCAGGTTAGCGTGCAATCGAGTAGTTCGATTTTGGGAATGTTTTCTGCTTTACCCGCCACGACCTTATTTTTGCAGAAAAAAACTATAGCTTTCGGAACGTTTTTGAATTTACGACCAAGTTTTAGAAACTTTTTTGTAAACAATTCAATCGAAAGAACCGGTTGCCAGAATTTTTCTTACATAAGCAGCGACTCTTTATGTTTTTGTAATAGAAATGTTGTGTCTTTGAGAAAACTCCAATATCTCAAAAATTTGCACTCTTCTCACCTATTTTAGTAGAAAAACAACTGAGGTTTTCGGCAAAGTTCAGTTTTTGAAATAACGCATTTCGTCCCGCATCAGTATAGCAAATTCTGAGAAATCATACATTTACTTCCAGTTTTAGCTGGGCCTCTAGTTTTTTTATCGAGACATACAAAAGTTTTGGTTTCATTAATTTTAGTTTCAACGTTTTTCGTTTTTTTTCGATTAAAGTTTCGTTTCATATTTGTGTTGTATCGCAAATGGGTATTTTTTACAATATAGGTCTTTTTTACTGTCTTTTTTACAATGTATATTTTTGATCAATCAATCAATCAATCAATTTTTTTTATGGTGCTATGCTTAATATACTCCAGCTGTGAGGGAAAGTGCGCGCTGAAAAATACACGTCAAAATTAAAAACAGTCTAAAAAGACGATATTAATTGTAAGCATGAACTGGCTTAACTCTGTTTGTTTTAGTGTCAGCAGAACTGCGACGGGAGTGATGATAAGGCGGAGTTAGATGTGAGACAAATGGTGGCAGAGGTGTCATCCTCGCCCCTGGATTTCAACTATGTACAGTCCCTGGACATGTACTACCACTACAAGACTGGATACTACTTCCACGATGTCAGTTCTATTTCTAATTTTAAAGTCGAAATATTTCCATGATTTCTTGAAAAGTTTTCGTCAATTAATTTTTCGACTTCTGCACTTTCGGCTTAAGAGTGTGAACCTTTTTTTTGAAGAAAGATACGATTAATTTCAAGTTTATAATTATAATTCATCCATCATGTTAAGCGCAACTGCTAGCGCAACATTGTTTTACTAAAAAATTGTAGCGATTTTTTTTTTCGTTCATCAAAGTTGCTTAATTAAAAGTTTTGTTTTGCTTTCACTATTGATTTCAGTAAATCACTATTATTTAAATGATCAAAGCACCAGCGGATTTCGGGGGGTGGGGGTATATAACAGTATTTAGACAACCGCGTATTTAGACTCCGTATAAACCAATCAGAATCGAGACAAGGAAGAAATGATTTTCATTTCTTCCTTGTCTCGATTCTGATTGGTTAATACAGTGTCTGAATACGCGGTTGTCTAAATACAGACCGCACTCCTAGGGAATTAGGGTCGAGGAGGGGAGCTCCGGGTCAAAATGTGGTTTTTTTTAAGTTGTTTGTGGCATAGGATTCATGTCTTTTCTTCGACCCAATTGCAAAACAATATCTTATGTTCAATCCGAGGACTTCGCAATATCAGCCGAGCAAGGTAAATGATAAGAATGAAGAGTCCAAAGAAGCTGTTGACAGCGTGATGACCGATATTTTAACACGTGAAATGACTGCTAATGATCATGAGCCAAAACACGAAGACGAAAAGGCGGAAGTGGTAAAAACTTCTCCTTCTAAATACGTCTACGACACAAATTCAGGATATTTCTTCAACCCGGTAAGCTTTTTTGGTCTATTATATATAAAACAAACTTGTGGCTTATTGTTCCGACTTTTGAAACAAGTCGCGTAATTCTTAGGCTCATGTGTTTTATCCAGACAAATTTCGAAGTTTTGAGTAGCTATTTTTGAAATATTTATACAGACTGAGAAATACTGATGTTAAAATTGGGATAATTAACGCTCGATATATTTCGTCTTATTAAAGAGTGAGTGAGTGGCAAATCAAATCATTCAAAGTTGAACTAAGGCACGAAATTTGCTCCTGTTAAGAATCGATTAACGTAATTCAGACTCATATAAAGGTCGCGATGATGTTTTTTCAGTAGAAGTCAAGTTTTTTCATGCTCAAATTTGTTTTTTTTTCGCGGTTTGACTTTTGATTTTTTAATTTCAGTTTATGTGACACCCCTAAAGTGGTGTCATTAATAGTCATTGTTTCTTTTCCAATTTTCTGTTTGCTATGTTTCGCTTAGGTTGTTGGGAAAAAGTATCAATTTTTTATCGAATGATTTGAATGAATTCAGCCCGCGAAATTTTCATTTTTTTCTTCAGTTTAGTGTGCTTCAGTTTTTGTTTAATATTTGTAAGCCAGGTTTGTATTAATAGTCAACTCCTTGTTTGATTTTGTTTGCAGCATTTCATGACACTTGTGAAGCAAAGTGTTTTAGTATGAACTTTCTTTTTTTCCAACCGAAGTCGCAAATATTGTTGCGACTTAAAATAACAATTTTTGCTGCATCGAATTGGAAATACAAAATGAAACACAATTAGTTGCACCTTTACAGCTTATTGATAACATGTGCTTTGACATTCGAATAGTTATAAGTTTACACAGTTAATGCATTTTTAATTCATCAAGTGAACCGAAGAAAGCTATTTGTTTCAAATAACATAACAATAGTAAAGTTTGATTTCAGAAACTTTCTAACTCAATATATCTCAAATTTTTCGAATTGCTTGTTCTTAGGCTTGTTTTTACTTTTCCTTGTGTCTCTTGATAGAGCTGCTTTTTGGTCGTGTTCTCGGAAGTGTTTGTGAAGCGCAAGTTCGCCTCTGTGTAACAACTGTGAAAGTTTTCATCGCCTGTGTTGAAAAAAGAGATTGCTGTTTTGAGAATTTTAGTTTACTGACAGGTTATACTGCGTGTGAAAAAAAACCTTTGTCTTCCAGAATGATGTAAGCTGCCCTGAAAGTTATTAAAACATTTTTCACGTTTCCGAATTTAGAGAAGGGAAGGGAATTAAACAAGAAGGGAAGGGAAAACAAGAAGGGAAGGGAAATTGTTTGAATTCTCAATTAAACAAGAAGGGAATAGAATTCTCAGGTAAACAGTCGGAGCTTAGTAAGATGTTACAAGGCTGCTTTAATTTGTTTTCAACCTAAGTGCTTTTTGGTGACATTTTTAAAGTAGGCGGCTGAATTGGCAATTCAATAGCATTTAATTTCAAATTTAGTTATACAGTGGTTGGTTCAGAGAAAGCTATTTATTTCATACAACAGTACAATTGTGCAGGGCAGCAACTGAAGAACATGAATGTTCGAGTACAGGTGCAATTGCCCTGGAGGACTTGTTTTTAAACTCATTACTTTTTTCTTTTGACCCCAGTTAAGCTACTTTTTGGCGTTTTTTCGCTTGTCTTTGCAAAGTGCAGCTTCGGTTTTGTGTTGATTCATCAAATGAAGGGAAGAAAGCTACTTGTTTCTCACAACTGTAGAATAAAAAAAACTCCTTTTCGGAAAATTTCGAGCTCAGTTTACTTCGTTAAAATTTGATAGGCACAAATTATACTCAATTTTGCATGATATTTTCCAATTTATTACATGCAAAGGTGGGTTGTTGCCTTCAGTTTATTGCAGTCCAATTTACTACATGCTAAAATGGTGTTTTTGTGTATTTTGCAGCTTTCTATAAGCGTCAGTGACAAAATTGAGTAATAATGTCAACTAGAAAACTTCAATGTTCGAGGAATGAATTTCAATTTCCGTTGAGGGCAGGCATTTATTTTTCAAAACTGATTAGCTTTTAGTTTTCTTTTCTCTCTTTTTTCACCCGTTTAAAACTACTTCTTAAAGTTTCTTACCCTTTTTGCGAAGTGCAGCATCGCCTCTGCGTTAACAGCATAAAATATGTTTTTAAATATATTGTGTAGTGCACAAGTCCTTATATTATATTTGTCGATATGAGTTTATTCCAGGTTTCGGGGATGTTTTTCGAGCCCATATCTCGCCGCTACTTCAAATACGACCCAGATTCAAACAGTCATTACGAAGTGCTGGAAACAGGCGAACGGGTTGAATCTCAAAACGGATCTCATCATACAAGTGGTAATTTTATAGCAATGATCTTCGAGACCTATTATTTGAAAATTGAGGTTTCTGTGTCTTCATTTCGAGAATTGGAGTTAGAAGCGAATTTTTGTTATTACGTGCTGATCTCATCACAAATGTCTAGGAGTTGTTTAATGATAGTGTCGCCTGAATACAACTTAAATCCTTTCCCTCTCATTACACTAGCAAGAGCAAGTGTCTGGTAATCGGGGACTAAAGTGTTTTCCCGTAAACTACTTTTCTTAAAAATTCGTAAGAAATTGATGCTGCTTTTCTTATCGAACCTAAGCACCCCCAAGGCCACCACATCCTGCTTGGGCTGGAGGACGCTATGTTCTAGGGTTGAGTTGACTCCCTGACCGACCTTGTTTTTTTTTCAGTGTCTGAAATTGAATTTTTTTTCCGGGAAAATATGATTAGTCGGCCTAAATTTTTTGTCTGCTTTTGTTTTTTGGCTTAGTTGCCACACCGCAATATCTTTTTTTTTGCGCAGGTAGTTTTTTTGTAGTCTCAAGTGTCGTTGATTAGCTCCTGTAGTTTGTAAATTTACTAACCCTTACTGGACTGGTGTGCTTTTCGTTCTTTTTTTTTCGATTAGAAAGTTTATTCGGCCTAAAAGATTTCGGTTTAAGTTTTGTCTGTTTAATTAATTTATTTAGCATCGCTTTAAGGGAAAAAGAATCTTTATTGTTTAAATCAGGTCGGTTGTAGTATAAAAGTTGTCGGTTTAGTGAACGCTCGGAAATTACTAAAAGCTCGTTTCATGCTAGTGATTGTGTTTCTCAAATGTTTTTCTGAAACTGTTGATTTTTCAAGTTTTTTTGACTTTTTTTTCCATCTCAATTTCAATTTGGTAGCTTCCAATGCTACGCTTTTGTCATTTGTAAAATGTGTAGCTTTATTTATCCCAATGTGTTGCGGAAAAAGAGTTTTTAAAACGTAGTATACAATCCACCTATAAGAAGGCTAACAATTTAATTGGGGAACATAAAGTTTGTCTCTTTTCAACAGATATATGGTAGAGTCGAACTGTTTTTGATGAAGTTAATGTACTTTAGAATTTACGTTGGAAACCAGCAGCATCAGACTTGTTGTGTTGGACTCACAAAGTCTCAATCTGGGAACTCTTTTCTTTGCATCTCCAACTTCAAACGAAAGTGATATTTTAATAGGAAAAAACAAGCGATGCAACATTTACTTGCCCTCATATTGCGTAGATAGCGTCGAGCAATTCCATTGCAAATTGCGACCGGATAAGGATGATAATGTGTGGACCATAAGAACCGTGAATGAAAAGTGTCGAGCTGTTCTGAACGGGAAAAAATTGGAGCCATTTTGGACCAAATTAACCCATGGGGTCAACTTGGAATTGGGCTCTTTGAAACTAGCTGTGCATATACATTGCGGGTACAATGTAACTTGTGATGGATGTGAACCAGCTTTGGTAGAAGCTTTCTTTGCGAAAAAGAAAAGACTCGAAACCACAAATTCGGAAACTAATGGTGCTGTGAATATGAACGGAGAGAGTGTAGGAATCGAAACACAGCGCAGACGGACAACCCATTTGATTAAAGAATCGCTAGGGTTGAATGTGAGTTTTCGGATCTTATGATTTTGTGATTATCAAATATGCGAATGCATGTCTAGTAGTTGCAAGCACGATACCTAGAGATTTCAATATCATTCTAAAATTGTTTTTAAGAAGTCAACTTTTGATCATCTCAATATCAATATCGAGTAGCAAAAGTTTTTTGAAAGTTTGGCCAGAAACTTTTAGAAACAAAAGTTTTCGGCTAGGCAAGGCTTAGCATGATTTATTTATCTTCTGTTTTGTGCCATTGTTCTAATTCTAGACTGGGAGGCGGAAACTTCCAGTGGGCTACGAAGACAGAGCCGAGACTCGTCGTCAGGTAGTCGGCTCCGAACCCAGCATCGGCTACAGCAAAGAAACAAAAAACTACTCAATGACTCTAGACGAGATCTGTGCCCAGCATCCATCCAGCACAGACAAGCCACTGGATAGTAACAATGTTGGTTTTAAACTCCTGAAAAGTATGGGTTACAAGGAGGGAAAAGGGCTGGGAAAAGAGGGAAAAGGCATCAGTGAACCAATTAAAGTGCAATTGAGGGAACCCAGAGCTGGTTTATCATCTGCGTCTGTTAAATTTTCTCTCGATGACCAAGAAAAGGCAAGCAAGTATCACAAACAGTGGGGAAAGGCCCTCAAACGCTTTGCAGAGCTCGAGAAAAATTGAAAAAGGTGCTATTTTTAATCTCGGAAGTTCAGTTTATTGTCAGCTGATAAATTAAATTTTAAATCAATATCTGGTTTTGGCCCAATCTATCAGAAGCAGGGGCGGATTTCGTGGGAGGTCCCCCTTTCTCCCTCGGGCCAGGGATTCGCCCCCCCTCAGCAACCAAAGGTTTCCCGTTTGGTATTATTTTCTGACTTCCATGTTTGGCCGACCAACTCTAAAATTTTTCTAAAGGCGAGCGCGCGACCAAAAAAATGCAATTTTTTGGGTCAAAATTGGGTCTTTATAGTATTCTGGGAGCGCTCAGAAAGACAATTTATTCGAGTTAAAGAAAAAAATATAACAAAAAATCCACCCCTTCTCCTCGAGAAAATACTAGATCCACCCCTGACCCGAAAGATAGCCGGCTCCGACTAAAGTATTCTAAGTGTAACTAAAACTAAATTATAGTTCATTAATTTTTTCATAATTTTTTTCCAAATACTCCGTAATTGTTCCGACAATTGAAAATGGATAGCAACTTTGAATTTGGGTTTTTTTAGTTTTTTTCCTCTTGCTATCCACGCAAAATCAACTACTACAAATACTCATGGGACTTTTAAGCAAGTGAAACTCGTTTTTGGAGTTTTTATCTCCATTTTGAAAAAAAAAACTTCATTATTTTTTTTTTATTTTTTGTCATTTTTCTACAAAAATTTTTGGCCAATTTGACTACTTAACTATGATTGTCGAATATGCCTAAATTATTAATTTAGCTCAGTTTCTTTTATCACAGCAAGCAGAAAAATTGCACTAATTTGGAAAAAAAACTTTTTAAACCGAATTTTTTTTTATAGACTGGTCGGAATATTCTGTGCTAATTGCACACTAACCGGCTATCGTTGCTTTTAAGTGTAAACAACTTTAGAAGTGCATTCATACACATTTGCACAAGTTTTATTCGAATGTTGAAACTATTAAAAACAAGTCAGTTCTGTTTCCTTGCGTTCATTACTCTTTTCCAATTGCTATTTGGCAATGTTCTCCTTTTTCCTTTTTAGGTAGTGGGAGCGCATTTAACTCTTTAATTAGTTTTCAAGAGTTAGTTAAAATGATGTGAAAAAAATATATACTTTTTCTTTTTCCGATCCACTTGCCTCCGTGTAATTAAGGCTGAAAAACGGATAAATTCTACTTTTTTCCGACACTGATAGAAAGTTTCGATCTAAGCAGTTATATTTATGCAAGTACCTACAAAACTGTGTTAAAACAATTTTCCAAATAAGCAAAAAGTGGTCGATTTTTGATTCAACTATTTTCTGCCTTCTTTATGCGCGGGAAAAATTTTGGCTTCAGCCAGTTGACGTTGAAAAATATCTTGTTTCAACGAAAGAATAGAAACATATGTTGAGACAATAATTATTCTTCTAATTTTTCTCACAGATAGTAATGTTACTCATTCTAGTAGTTATGGTAACATTTCTATCTGCGTGAAAAGTTAGAAGAATAGTTATTCGATAAACAAGCAATGGTTGATTCCTTTTTAATTTGCGATACAGATACTTAATGATTAAATTTATCAATCAATTTGGGCAAAATTGGTTATGCAACCTGAGCATTTTTTTCACAACAGTTTTTTCGCCCATTTTTTTTCTGTGTTGCCGCTCTTGCTGTTTTAAGAGTTTTGCTGAACAAAATGTTTAAAGCATCGACTGCAATAGAGCAAAATAACAAATTGTTGGTTTTGAGGTATTTTTAAAATACTAGTAAAAAATTTTCGGTTTCGTCTTTCACGATTTTACTTTCCCTAAAAGTTTTTCTTTGAAAATTCACGTCCCTTAAGTGAGGACGCTTGATAAAAATAGAATAATCATCCCTGAAAATCTGGTGCTCTTGTTTTTGTATCTCTAATATGCGGGATCTATGCAAAGATCGATGCATGACTCTGGCAAATCTGATACTCGTGTATCTTCTTTTATTGTAAATTCGAAGGGGTGTTTGATTCATTAACAGTCAGATATTTCAAGCTTCATGTTTAGTTTAACATTGATAATAGGCGATGAATGGCGAAAATGAAATTCAGATTAAAGCATGCCAACCAAACTTTGGAAAGAAAGTGAAAATCTCAAAGAAAGAAAACATTTCCTGGGAATTATTATGAATATTAGAATCAATTTCTCATATTTTTGTAAGATCAATTTAGCTTAGATGTTATACTAAATCAACTAATGAGACTCCGAGAGGTAGACAAGGGGACCGTCAGGTCCTCTAACCTCTACCTTATTGAATGATTAAAATTTTATAGAAATCATAATAAAAACTATATATTTTTTTATTTTTACGAAATTGATTTCACACAAATTTCCAAATTGTAAAAAAAGAGTGTTTAGTTGCAGAAAAATAAATGATTTACATTGACAAATTTTTGCAATGGAAGAACATGCTGCCGATCAGGTATCAAAATAATGCAGGTAAAAATCACAATATTCTAATTTTTTCTTTTCCTCTGTTCGCTCATTTTTGTTCCTTGAATGCTCTTTCTTATTTCTTGTAAAACATCTTTTGCTAAAATGGTGCACGCTTGTCTTCCTTTTAAAGACTTAGTTGAAAAGGGGATAGACTTTTTTGTTTTTTGAAAAATTCTTTCATGTGTTTTTGTGAAAAATCGAAAAATGGCCATATATCCTAAACTACACCACAAATTTTTTTTTCAATTAAGAACGCGTTGAATCCGGCCATTTAAATGAGATTCAAACCACTCTACACAATTTCCTCGGATACCATTGGCTTCCAGTTTAATCAGAAGTAATTTATGACCAAGGGTATCAAAAGCTTTCTTAAGATCCTGAAAAAGTATATATTTCATATCGAGAGTCATTTACGCTTAATTGCCTAGTTAATTCAGCTACAGCATCTATCGCGCGAAGTTTTTTTCACCAGCCAAACTGTTGATTGTATAGCAATAAGGAATTTTCACGGAAACAATAAACTCTATAATACATTATTCGTTCGTAATTTTTGCTCCAGAAAATTAAAAAAAGAAATTGACCTGTAATTGTTTTCATCTTGACTAGACTTTTCTCTGTGAATGGTAATGGTTTTTGCTTTTGAAAGTTCGGTTAGAAATTTTTTCTTTGAAAATTAGATATTAATAAGATAGGCTAAGATAAGTGCAACTAAATTTTTTGAAGATTTAACTATTTTATTACTGATGTCGTCAACCCCCGATGTTGATTTGTCATCAAGCTGCGAGTTAAAAAAATATCAGCTTTGATTACCCTATACAGAAACATGGAATGATTTACTTTGGGTAAGCTCGGCGGAGAAAGGGTAGGTAAACCTTGTTTTAGTTTTTCTCCAATGTTCAGAAAGAAATCATGGAATTTATCACCAATATTGGAGGCACTTAGCACAGTGGTAAGGCGTTCACTTTGAATTCGTCAGATTGTGTATTCGATCCCATGCCATGGCAATGATAGTGTGTGAGGACAAGCTCTCACTTGACCTCCAGCTTCAGGTCTACCACAACCTGACCAAATTTGGCTGCAATAGTGGTACCACGTAAAAGTTCTAGACGCAAAAAAAACGGCCTTGAGCCGCAAAAAACAGCTTCGCTCAGCAAAATAACACTGTCTGGAATGTGGGGAGATAATACAAATGGACTATCCTCGACAGGACTGTTAAGGCCTACTGATAGCTCCTCTGTGATATTAATTAATATCTTTATTTGAGGGTTTTTCTTTGACTTGCATTCATGAGTCTAAAACTGGTACTTGCATTCGTGATGGATTTTTACCATTTATATTATTAAGTAATTTATTTATTTGACTTGAGTCTCCAATACAGTTTTTAATTTTATTCCTTACATAAGTTTTCTTCGTTTTTTTTTATCGCGAGCTCGAATTTTTCCCTTGAGTTTTTGAAACTAATCAATAACATGTTATTGTTGGGCTTTGTTTCATTTTCTATGGGTACATTTTGCTTGCTTCTGTGATTTTTCAATCCATTATTTAACCAGGGCAGCTGATTATTATTTTGGGATGAAGATTCTTTTAGGAGGAGCCAACTTGTTAGAACTTGTATATGAAGAGTCTTTTTTGATATTCTTTATTGGCCATTCTATTATCATTGAATAATGATCTGAGAGTGTTTCGTGTTTCAAAACTACTGCACTGGGACTACTTATATGCTGGTATAGGAAATGATTGACACATTTTGATGATGTTAATGTTTCACGTTTTGGCTCTGATCCAAAACATTCGAAACCATTAGACATTATAGCGTTAAGATAATTCTTTTTGAGTTGGTTGTCTTGAGGTGTATTTTTATTTAAATCTCCGCGTACAGTAAATGGTTCAGTGGATGCAGTATTTAAGTCAAGAAACTCATCGAGTTGCGCCGTGAAAAGAAACTTATTTGTTCTAGGTGATATATTACCGCAATTTTAAGCTTAAAATTGCCTTTTTCGACCTCCATGAAAAGTGCCTCTTCAAATGAGATAGCGCGCTGCTTTAGCATATTGCAGTTTTCATGTAATTGGATCATCACTCCTCCTTCTCCTGATGCCCTTTCGATTTTGCAAAACATGTTGATTGTAACGGTTTATCAGATAAGTTGAATCGTCTTTTTCATTTAGCCATGTTTCATTAAAACATTATATCTGACTCAAGACTAAGAAAACGTGCTTCCAATTATTCAAAGTGATGTTTTAAAGATAGTATTTTAAGGTGCAGAACAGAAAATTTTTTATGACATATTCATAACTGTAAAATAAATAATTTTTTCTGCCTTTTTCGATGGGAGATTTTACCGAAGTTGATGGGTTTTCAACGTTAGTCGCGAAAACAACTCATGATATCATTCATATTGTAGTTGATGTTTGAAGCCTCGTTGAATATATTTTGAGTTTTATAGATTTGGTCATCGGTTGAAACAAGGCGAAAATTGCACCCTCTCTAGTCCAGGTTGAGCCAATTCGTTTTTCAGTTTTCATTTACTTTAAAAATTTCACCCTTCCTCTGCTGATATCTTGGAATACTTTGATGTTTTGTTTTTCTCGCAAGATACGCTTCTTTCTCTTGTTTTCAACTTTATCAATGCGTCTGGAGAATTTCAAATTGATTGGTCTGATCGATACATTATATGTTGGCAGACGATGGGCAATTAAAATGTCATTTTCCTCGACCTTTGCGTTAATTTGTTTATAAATCGATACGCTCTTCTGAATAGTATCCTCGGGTTTTTCTGGTCAACTTGTGTTATTGCTGGTTGCTTTACTTATGTCCAAAAGTTGTCCCTTCTATATTTCAAGTTCTATAAACCCTTCTGCATTTCAAGTTGCTCTACCTCGCATAATGTTCGTAAAGTGTCTTTAGCTTAGCTTGCTGCTTTTCATATCTATTATCTATTATATATTTAAATGCGGGCTTCACTATCTCGCCATGTTTAAGCTTTTTCAACGTATTATTTTTTGCATGTTTAAGCTATATCGTATATTGCAATGCTTAAGATTTTTTTTCGAGTTTCCAATTTTATTTTAGTGGTTATTTTACCGAATCTTTATATATTTAAATGCGGGCTTCACTATCTCGCCATGTTTAAGCTTTTTCAACGTATTATTTTTGCATGTTTAAGCTATATCGTGTATTGCAATGGTTAAGAATTTTTTTCGATTTTCCAATTTGATTTTAGTGGTTATTTTACCGAGTTTAAATTAAGCAGCCCAATATCGAATTAGGGGTTGCAAATTTGGCCTCCAATTTTGAATGCCCGAATCATTTTAGTTAACGAGATAAGACGATTTTTGAGATTTTTTCAAAAATTTTCAGAAATTTCAAATAACAATAAAGTACAAAAATTTAAATTCCCAACCCTGTAGTTGGGCGCTGTCAGAGTTCTCTCAAGGATTGCGAATCTCGCCTCCAAATATGACTGCTCAAATCCTTGTAGTTTTCGAGATATGACGTTTTTTATTGTTATTTTTTCAAAAGTTTTCAGAAAATTTAAATTAATTTTTTCTCAAAATTTGAAATTCCCAATCTTGTAGTTGGGTGCTGTCAGAGTAATCTCGAAGATTGAGAATCTTGCCTCCGACTATGACTTCTCAATTCTTTGTAGTTTTCGAGATATGACGTTTTTGGTGATCTGAATTTCCAACGCTATAGTTCGGTATTGTCAGGGTACTCTAAAGAGTTGCAAATCTTGCCACATGCGACTGCTAAACGCGAGCGACTGCTCAAATGCTTTTAGTTTCCGAGATGTGACCTTTTTTGATTTTTTCAAAATTTTTCAAAGAACTTATCTACAAAGAAATTCAAACAATTTGAAACTAGTAACTTGATGAAAATACAACCTTATTGTCAGCGTACACCCAGGCGTCTCAAATCTTGCTTCATAATTTGAATGCACAATCCTTTTAGTTTCCGACATAAGAAGTTTTTTTTTCTATTTTTTTTTCGGGAAACAGGTTTAAAAAAAATTAACAAAATCTAAGATTCCTAACCCAATAGTAGGGTGCTCTCAGGGAATCTCAGTAATTGCAAATCTGGCCTCCAAATTTCTCCAGAGGCCCATTAAGTTTTCCTGACGACGCTTTTAAAATGGGAATTAAAAAAGTTTAAAAGTTTGAAATTACCAACCCTGTAATTGGCTGCAGTCTGAGTACACTAAAAGTTTGCAGATGTTGTTTCCATTATATGCGGTTTTTCATGAGCTGTCGAAAAATTTCGAAGCACCGAAGGTGCGTTAAACGCTAGTCTAATTTTTTTTTGAGGTTTTCATATTCGACTCGTATTGCTATAACTGCTTGTAAGGTGTTCTATAAGTCAAATTTCAGTTTTTCCATGATTTTAGGGAGCGCTTTGTTAATAGCTTTTCAACTGCCTCTTCGATGTTAGTGCTCGACTTCTTACTTTCATTTTCATTGATTATACTTAGGACAGCACCTGACCTTTTCGAACTGGAACTCGCTTTTGGTAACGGAGTCTGATCTTGGAATCGCAGGCTCGGTGGATTTTCTTCAACTTGATTTGCCTCGTTGGATACTTTCAACTGCTCCTGGTTTCAAATGAATCATTTGAACTAGACATCTCTGTCTCTGAATTTATTTACTAAGTTTATCACCACAATTAGACTAGTTAGGCTTCCTCAATAGCATTGAACCTATTTATCGTTGAAATCTTAACCCTGCGGTTTCTAGAACTTCGAGCACTATTATTACCGTTTACTTACAGCAATAGGGATCATCTTGATGCGATAACCATAATTCAGTAAGACATGATATTGAACTGGAGGGGGTTCAATTAAGATACGGAAGACTGGAAAAGTTCTGTTCCTTATCAGCATTTTTTCCGCAGTTTTACATAAAGATGAAGACGACTGATAAAGTTATTGTTCATTGTTTGCGAATCTAGTTCAGTATAACCTGGTGTTGTAGTCTCCGTTAGTTGAAAAATATCTTAGCGCTCACACTCAACACTGAGTTTGTTTAGTAGATCTTGAAGTTCGATTTGATGTAGTTGGGTTTTTTTTCCAGAACCTTGCGTGTTTATCAAACAGTTTATCACTCGCTAATTCTGAAATAGCTGATATTAGAAAATCTTAAACGTTGGTAGCTATTGATTTTTTCTTCGTTTTTTTTGGAAGTACTAACTGCTTTGTTTTGGCTCCTACGGTTGGCTATTTAACCACGAGCTAAGATGTTTATGGCTACCAGAACTTAGTGCACCTGATCGCCTTGCTCCCAGCTTCTTCGATCGCTTTTCTGTTTCGAAAAAGCGCTGATTTTATCAATTGATCAACAATCTGGGAATCTTTTAAAAATTGTTTTATTAAAGCATGACACATCTAAATTTATTTTAATTGACTTGATGCCCAGAAAACAAAGTGGCCGCTTCGTTTAACCTTATTCGGGAAGATATTCGATCCATTCTTGCTGTTACGCATGCTCTTTGGCCAAGAACTCTTTCACGTAACATGTTTTTCCATGTGACTGTCCTTGCGATAAGCAAGAGTATTGCAATCGGGTACCAGACTTTTTTCGCGCAAATAAATTTGTACACAGGACTCATCTCTAGTGGTACCTTATTTAATAATTAATTCTCAGCCCACTTAGCTTGGAGATTATGAATACGGGAAATATTCTGTTTCAAATGAAATTTTTGGCCAACTATTTTTCTGCCTATCTTATGTCGGCGTTTCTGCCACATCTTGGAATCGTTTTTTTTTTGCGGCGGGCATTTTTTAAATGTTGTTTTTAGTGTTTGATTTACTACTGCAATTCGTAATTTTACTGACCTTGACTTCTTTTTTTTTGGTTTTTTGTTTCGCTGAAACCTTTTATTCGGCCCAAATTGTTTCGGCCTATTTTTTATTGGCATAGTGACCTAATTTTGGGTCGTTTCAAGGGAAACACAATTTTTACGCTCCCCTCCGCACTTTTTTACTTAAAATTTTTACATAGTGCAATTTTTTGTTGTTGTTTCTATACGTTTGCAATTATCAAGTGTTATCATATTGGAAAATTCAGTTTTTTTTAAGATAAGCAACGTGTTTTAAAAAATCTTTTGATTCATATATTATCCAATTTACAAAAAAAAAATCAAATTTTTTGTCTTTATTGGCGTTCAAATTGGACGACTCTACCTGGGACGGTGAAGGTCCGAGTATTGAATCCACTCAAGACTTTTGTTTTTCAAATTGTATTTATTGCGTTTCAAAATATTTAGACCTATCGTTCGTCAGATCTTTTCGGCTTTATTGCCATATCACAGAATTTTCTTGTTCTTTAAGATTTCTCTTTGTAGGCGTTATTGGTTTGCTCCCGTAAATTGTCGATTACCTTACCCTTCAAATTTTCTTTTTTGTTAGTTTTATGTTCTCGTAAAAGCTATATTCGGCGTAAATTGTTTAGGCTTGTTTTGTCGGCCCAGTGGCCTAATTGGCGATTCCTCGAAAAAGAACGTCCTCGAATTTCAGAACTTATCTCACTTTTTCACGATAGTTTAGTTTTTAGCTCAACTGCAGTTTACCCAAGTTCTGTTGGCTTTTATGCCCCGGTCAGTAAAGGTTTTCGAATACCTATTTTATTGGCGATTATTATACTGGATGTATTAAATTCTAATTGAACGTTATTTGAGGCAAAATTATTAATTGTTTTTTTAATTTTTGCAGAGTTTTATGTAGGTCACGATGATTTTTTGTTTCTTTTCAGGAAAAGTCTTAAAGTTTGTCCAGGCTCAATCTTACTTTTTCGCCGTTTGACTTTCGATTGTTTTTTAAGTTCAGTTCATATTCTTTGTTAAAAGGAAGGCAAAATCCACTATCTAATAGCAAAAGTGTAAAGATCACGAACAACGTGATTGACTACTAGTTTTGAAAGTGGAAATTGGTTTTCAGATTTCCCAGCGAAATAAAAAATAATTACCTATTTATCCTGTTTTCTCAAATTGGATTTATTTTATAAAAAAAGTGCTTGTCATAAATTGTTCAAGAAATTCAAAGGGGTTTAAGGGTTTAAGTAAAGGGATAGTTTACTTGCGTTTATAGACTCTTTTCCAACTTTGTTGGCTGTTTCGATTTTTTTCGTTTAAGGTGTTTTTTTTCTATCCTAGCTTGCTATGGTCACCTTTGTCTGAAAAAAATGAAGATTTACTACCGGTATCCCATTTTAGGTGTTCGCATATGAATGAAATGTTTTGACAAAGCGAAGTCCCGCAAATCGAGGGTGGGCCCCAGTGCTGAGCGCAGTGCCAATTATGACGTCATAGAAGCCAGACCCAAGAGATTCATAAGAGTTCATCACGAGAACGTTCGAAAAGCTGAAGTTGCCACTACGGATATTGATTCGGGTGATACTACTTTGCTCCAGCCGGAACGGAGCCTAGATTACGCAGCGCCATCTCTCAAACAGCCTAATGGGTCTCGTAATCCAAAGGATTGGGTTTTGTTTTTTGTTCACGGAGTTGGCAGCTCGTCACGTGACTGGTCCGCTCAGGTAACTTAATGTTATTCAGCTTTAATTTGATTTTATTCATATTTTGTTTTCAGTTGAGAAACAACATTATTCATCAAAGCAGTGCTAGAAACAGGTGTCGTTCCTCCTAAACATCGCCCAGCCCGCCTTTTCATGGGTTTTAATAGTGTTTTACTCGATCTCAAAAAAGGTCGAGAAAATTTATCAAATTTGAATTTTTTATGAGAATCCGCTGCCACAAGAAGATCTTAGATTCGCCCATGGTACCACAGAAAGTTTACAAACTTCCAGGGTTGGGGAAAACAGCGATCTTTATTGAAAAAATCAATTAAACAGCGTTTTTTCAATAAAAAACATGTTTTATTGTTTTTTTTACAGCTTGTTCAGTTCTAACTTTCTGCCCTCATACCCAGAGGTGGATCTAGGATTTTCTCGAAGGGGGGAGGGGGCGGATTTTCAAAAATTTGTCGAAAATTTTGTCCTTTTTTTTGGTCGACCAAATTGATTTTCTGAGCTCTCCCAAACCACAATACCAACATTTTGAAAAAACAGGTCAAAAAGACGTTTTTAGGCCTTTTGAAAATTTTGGCCCAAAAATTGCGCTTTTTCGGCGCGCGCTCCTCCCATTAAATTAGTATATATTGGCGCCAAAGGCGCCTTTAGAAAAAATTCAGGATCAGTCGGCGCAAATGGATATCTCAAAATAGCACAGGCAGGCTCATAAATGGAAGGCGGCTCATACCTCTATCGCAGCGGTTCGACTCCCAGACAATGCTAGTTTTTTGCCATAAAAGTTTTAAAATAAAAAACACTTGTTTTTTATATTGTTTTAAAACGTGTTTTTTTGCCTTTTTTAAAACATGTTTCAAAACATTCCCAACCCAGTAAACTTCGATTAGATTAAAAATGAGATTTTTATCACGAAAAAACATGGATTTGTAAAAGCTTATATTGTCCTTTATGGACAGGTAATTGTATTTGACTAGTAATTATTTTTTCGCTTTTCAATGATTGATTTTTGTAGAAAACTTGAAGTTCCTAAATTTTAGTTTGACGCTGGGCATAATGTAAAAAATATTAAGGTAGTGTTTGGGTTTAGATCGATCATTTTAAAAAACTCGGGTATCGTATAGTGGCAGTGGACCTGATCGGGCACGGTGGCAGCAGACCCCTTCCATCCTCCCCCTCATCTCCAGCTAGCTTAGTGGAGGAGGACTTCAGCTTCAAACAGATGGCGTCTGATGTGCTTGCTGTGTTTGATCATTATGCAGATGGGAGAGGCAATGTACTCATTGGTCATTCACTGGGGTAATGATGTTTTTAGGTAACCGGTCAGAGGCCTAACCCGAAGATTAATTACTTAAGGTTACGTAAGCTATTTATTATCTTACAAGAGCTCACCTTGTAAATTGCAGCGCACGTGCGGTTTGAACCCGCAATCATGTGATTGCTAGGCACCATCACTACCGATGCACCACAACGCCAATATCACACCTCTCCGATCTTTCACGTAGCAAAAAAGTAATTAAAAAAATTGACTCACTGTCGAGTTGATTCAGCTTTAATTTGTGGCTTCATTTTGCCCCCTTTTTCAGTCATTCGTGTAGCGAAGAGTGTATGAAAAGGATAGCGAAACTATTTATATATAACTATTATATTTACTATTTTCACAACCTATATAAACTGCTCTCTTATCTATTTTCAATGCAAGTTTACTCGAGCGATAGCAAGTGTTTTATGATCGGGTTATATGCTTTTTTTTCCAGCTAAGAACTGTCTACGGACGTATTTATGCTCGCACTTATGATAATTTTTATAGTATTACGTCTTATATTACTATTGAGCTTGCGTGCTTTGTGTTATATTACGATTTCGCTTTTTTCCAATTAAACTCGCATAAAATAGTGCTCATTTTGGTGTCTTTTATTGTTCCGACTTTCGATACGAAAGTAACGGAATATTTGTGCTCGGGGTGGGTTTTTTTTTCTTCAGACAAATTTCGACTTTTTAACTGGCCATTTTTGACGGAATTTTTTTTATATCATTCGAAAGGTATTGTTGTCCTGAGCTTGAATTTGAAAAGATATTTCACCTGTGATCATTTTTCGTAAAGTTACGGGGGTTTAAAGATTGCCATTTTGGCCAATTTGGGACAATTAACGCGCGATATATTTCGCGCTTTTAACGCGTAAGCGGAAAGTTAATCCGTCTTAGAAATCGTTCCAAATTGGGTGGAAGAAGCTTATTTGCCATAATTGATTTGTTACAAGGAGCGAAATTTATCCTTTTGTACTTAATATGGCGTGTGGGGGGATGATTTTCATAAAAACAATTCAAATTTTAAAAAAAAAATTTCATTTTGTTTTATTTCATTTAATTTCTTAAATGTTATTACTGCTCCATAAACATTAAAAGGCGGTCGGAACATTCAAGGCTTCGCACTGGTACGAGCAGTCTTGTTGGCTGTTTAAAATAATCTTTTCGCCGCTTCATAAGTGGCTAGTGTTTTGGTGCTTTAAGCGTCAGTAGCACCTTGACAGTTTTTTCTCATTATTTGTTTTTCCGTTTTTCTTGTTTTTTTTTGTGAAGCTAGTTTTTGTAGTTAAAATTATTTTTCTTGATCGCTGGCTGTCTCTATCCGCATTAGTTTTGCGCTATTTTTCTTTGAACGGGTGCATTGTTTTCTTTTAAAAAATAAGCGCTACTTACACTAGCTTATTTCTCTGTGCTTTGTGCAGCAAATTCATTTTCATTAAATGGAATAGATTGACTCCAGAGTTATCGGAAAAATGGTTTTGCTCCATGATAACATTTCACGTTTTCGATTCAATAATTCAAATTTTGAAAGTTAGTTTTTTGGTCGAAGATACTAAAATCGTTCACGAAATTCCGGAATTTTCCGGTATTTTTTTAACTGGATTCCGGAATTAACTGTGAAGTTTGCCGGCTGTGAAGTTTGCCGGAGTCCGGTGCATCTCTATTATAAATTCTATCTGATGATTTAGATGCTCCATTTGCACGTATGTGGCATCCAAGAGACCGTATGCAGTGTCCAAGATGAGTCTATTGTGTGGAGGGGGTCCTGATGTTCTGAATGCGAGGACTGATGGAAGGGGAGGGGGAGGAGGGTGTGGGTGTGGTTGTTGTGACTGTTGCTGTGATATTCTCTCCCTTCCAAATTGTTTCTTTTCACTCTTCAGGCCCTGCTGCTATTCATACGTCAAGAAGTTAGAGCAACGATGGCATCCTTCTTTGTTTTTTTCTTAAGCTAGCCCAGTTAAATCGAACCAATACCCATGCAACAATCGGAGAGGGGGTTCACTATGATGGGGATGGAGTTTTTTAGTGGGAATGGAGGCTACAATTGTTGGTAGAAGTGGGGACTATTAGGAAAAAGATATTTTTTCTTAAAGATACAGGGACTATAATTTTTAATGTATAAAATTTGAGACTAATGAATATCTGGACAAAAAGAATATATCATTGTGAATTTTCGTTTACTTCCAGCAGTGTGATAGCGGAGTTTTTATTTAGTATTATATATTATTCACAGCAGTAGAACTCCTGTTGTTTCTAGGCAGATGTTTTCGCAGAGCCATCTCAAGTCAACTCAACATCTGCATACCAGCTTAGACGATGTGTCTCCTGATGTCATCAAATACACGCTAAAGGTAATTTATCAATCAGAAACTCACTGCTGTCGTTTTTCGAGTTTTCTTTGAAGATTTTTTTTTAACTACAGCTGTTAGCATTTGACTTATGAGCTGAACTCATGTGACATGTATGAAGTTAAATACAATATTAAGTACAACATAAGATGTACTCAGTTTTTACTTTAAGAATCGGTGATAAGAACCGTCTGCGGTTGAGCGGAAAATTCTGATCATTTCCATCGGCGATGTTTTTAGTGGAGTGTTTTAGCGGCTGATCGCGGGCGACGGTCGTTTCTGAAAGCGTAGAAGTGGGTTGGGGTTAATGCAGGTAGTTCGATGCTTGAGCTGCCTGGTTTCTCAGCGACTTGATTTGGAAGAGACGTCGGCGATATCTCTTTGAAGGCGTGCTTTACTGGTCTGCCGAAAAGTGCCGTTTGTTTTTTCCTCATTTGAAGCACCCGAAGAGTAATAGTTGTCGCCATCTGCGCCGACTGAGGGGCCCTGATCTAGCCCGATCTAGCAGGTACAAATGAAATAGGGATAGGATATTTCGCTGCTAGCTGAATGTCCTCATCTCAGTAGATCAGTATATGATCTTGACACGGTTGCTGAGTCGCCATTTTCGGCGAAGGAACATTGATGGGTGTCGAAGCGGGACAGTTGTGCCGCCTGATATGGACGTTGAAAGTGTAAGGTCCACCACTGGATTGACCTGCTATACTCTGGGCAAATGCTCGGGGCATCAAACGACGGTTCATCAATCGTCATTCTTTTCTTGGCCGAAGATGCCCTCGATGAAGTTGACAACAACTCGTGAAGTTGAGCAGTTTATAACGTTTGACACTAATACCGTCTTTGCGCGTATTTTGTTCCGAGATGTAGCCGATTGGCTAAGAGGACGTCCATCCTCAGACGATGGAGATGAGCTTATGAGGCTTGGCGCCGTTGGTCGTTTGCGAGCTCTTTTTGCTGTCGAGGTCTGTTTGCCGTAACAACTAGGGACATTTGATTTCAGTCTTCTGGGCATAAAATTTTTCCGAATAACTTTATTGTTAGAGTTACTATACGGATTCCAAGTAACTTAATCAATTTTGCCCTTAAATGGCTTGAAAATTGCACGCTCCATTTTTCAAACTAGTATTGTCCGGAACATTTCGATCTTTTCTGGATTGTTTATAATCATAAATAAAACCAAATTACGACAGATGAAAATTTTTCAACAAAATGCAATGACACATCCGGACTGGACTGACCTTACGAAACCCTTTGATCCTGTGGCATTGCTCCCTCCTCTGTTCTGCTGTGAGCAAATCCCTCTCCAAGTGCAGGTTATCTAAGTCAAAACGATATGCTGTCAGCTGAAAAAGAGAGTTGGGTGTTCGGTTTGCGACTGAATTGTAATTCAAACGGAGAATACCATGTGACCGAGTTTTCGGTGACCTTGATATCCTCGATGATAGGGCGAAAAAAATTTTACTGGTATTTTTTCTAAAAGGCCTCAACTTATTTGTTTTTGAAACCCGAGTACTGATCGGTTTTGATGATTTTAGGAATGCGTATTGTTGTTTTCATGAACAACTTTCTTACCACCTGTTGACCGGTTCAACATTGCCAAAGGTTTTTTGAAAACCGGTCAATTGCGATCGATGCACATTTCATTTCCCGAATTTTCCTGTAGGAGTAAGCGTAATCGAGCTGGTCCTCATCATTGGGCAAGTGCAAAAAAGGTGCGGGTTGTGTGACCTAGAAGGTAGTCGGGTTTTCAATTTCTTGCCAAATTTAGGGCAAAAAGGACAATCTTTGCACATTTAGATATTGTTGCGATGCAATCGGACCACCATATGTACAGATCCCCTTAAGTTAGGGTTTTTTTTTCAGTGAGCTCTGTTAAAACAGCCTAATTCCAGATGCTTAACAATTCTGGTAGAGACTTCCTGTCTGATACGATTGGCTTTCTCATAGATCCCAAACTGAGTACTTCTGCACGACCGGGATGGTAGCGTACTGAATCTAGCTTCCTCGCCATCCCCCTTTGAAGTCTTTGATTGGCAAGCAGTTGGGCGTTCGTGCCCTTTACAGCCTTCTTTCTATCAGCTGATGACTGGCGCCTTGGTCGGACTGCACCTGATCTCTGCTATCGGCGGTATCTGCCTCCTTTGCCGAATAGTGGCCTTTCGATTGGTACAAACTGGTTCAGGAGTCTCTCAAAGATATTGTCCCGAAAACCAGAATCATGAAACTTTGAAAGGCTAGAGAATTTTTGGTCAACAAGAAATTGTGATAGATCTGAGACGTGATAATCTGGCGACAGAAGTACGAAAGTTGTAAAACTAGTCAGTTGTCTCAGAATTATGACTGAGAATAGCATTTTGAGAACATGCTGAGAAAGTGGAAAATTTGCATACTTTGGTAGCGGTGCAAGCCGATTGGAAGAAGGTTTGTGCATAAAGTACGTCGTCCCTGAGCGAATGCTAGCTCTTGTTGCATTTAATTGGCCCAGTGAATTGGCGAAAATATTGACACCCTCTAGCGATCTCTTGTCGGCCAAAAAAGTGGCAGACTACTGACGTGGCAGGGCTGCCAGCTCTTGATTTGATCCTGAATTTGGCGATTGAGATGATTTCATTCAGCTGTCTACGAAATCACACGATTGAGAACTTTTGCGATGCACTCGATCACGTATTTTAAATCAAATTCGCTCAGAGTTAGGGCCTTAAAGGTAGGATCACGAGATAGGATATGTACTATGCCTAATTTGATACCGGGAATCTGTACAGTAATAAAATCGAATGTGAGCAAGCGGTCGGTTCAGCGTAATAATCTTCACTGGTTGGTTTTTTTCCTCTGTTAATTTTCAACGCGGATATGAATACCTTGTAATCGGTTTGGATCTCGAATTTGTTTTCCAGAAGGTATTTACGGAAATACTCACGAGATCAGACAATTTCAACTAACTCCAATTCTTTGTTACTTTATTTTTGTTCTTGTGTGGTCAAGAATTGCGACGCAATCTGAACCCACTCGTCTTTATCTATTTCTTGCTCCAGGGCAGCCCCCAGACCATTATGGCTAGCGTCACATCTCATTGCTAGCTCGTGATTGATCCTATTGGTTCATTGTCGTAATTATGATTTTAAGAATATTTTTGATTTATGATTTTAAGAATATTTTTGAATGTCAGTTGTTGAGTATCCACCAGTCGAACTGTTGTTTTTTGCTTACTTTTATTGAAGAGAGCAGATGGTCGCAATGGACCTGACTATTCGGCAAGAACCTTGGTAAAGGTTGTTTTGGTTGAGGTTGCCTATAAACTATCTGAGTGACTTGAGTGTCTCAGGCGGATCCAAGGCTAATAAAGCTTCTATTTTAGACTGTTTAGAGGTAATAAAAACTTGCATCAATGTCGAATCCTAAGCAAGAGAAGGGAGAACTAGCGCTCTGACAGTTTGAGAGCAAAGTTTTCTTCCAAAAGTCTTTGAACACTTATTCTACTTGACAATAGTGGCCATCGGCTGAGCGTTTAGTAGCAATTAAATTATCATCTAGGAACGAGAATACGCTCGAAAGTCCTTGCAACCCATAGAAAGTCGTTTTAAATCTATGCGTTCCAGCATTTTACTACAGACGATATTGAAATTGACGTTGCTACTGACTTGCTTGCTAAGTTTGATGATTTGATTGAATGCATTTTTCAGTTCTAGCGGCGTGAACCTCTCTCTCATTTTTTTTTATTTTGAAGAGATGATCTGTGCGGTCGAGTCCAAAAGTTCCAAAAGATGTTGTATTTGTTTTTCAAGATCTGGTCGTTAATGGGCTTGGTGTCCATAGCCAATTTAACAGATCCATCGTTCTTTGCTGTAATAACGATCGGAGCAACAAAGTGATCACTTGCGCAACAAAGTGATCACTTTTCTGAAGAAGTTATTCAATTTTTCCCCACTTTTGACTGAATATGAACCGGGACTCTTTGTCCCTTTTCTCGGATGAAGGTTAATGGCGACTTAGAAGTTGAAAACAACTTGTGGTTTTTAGCATGTCCCACCCTCGTTAAATTTTTCCGTTTTTCTTTTTATAATACACTGTTCACCATTCCTAATTTGTATTTTGTTCAAATTAAGCAATTACTGCCAGCTTTGATTATAAACTGAGACCAAAAAAATTCTAATACGATTTTCATGATGAAGGAAATGGGCGGCCTCCACTTATCACTCCAGGGATGAGATATCCACCACCAGTGTGCCGAACAGGTCTATTTTTCGACGATTGTAATTGACATAGACTATCTATTAGACATACTCGGTCTGACAGAATCTTAGAAGAAGATTTTGAATTCACTATACGGTCTGCTGTTCCTCTGGCGACGAAAGAAGAAGGGCTGCCCATGTCCATACTTGCCTTGAAAAATGTATTGGAACATCTGATGATGATTTGGATACTCTGAATTTTCCCTGTGACTGCATTGACGACCTACCGTTTTTTCACTGAAGTAACTTCTGTGCTCGGTTATGTATAGATCATGGTCAGATAGGCTAGGATTTTCCAGACAATGGTACCTTACGGGTAAGTTGCCGTCTATTGCTGCAAATTCTGATTCTCTATCGGAGATAATGAAGTTGCAACCTTCCCCTTTTGTTTTGTCCGATTCAGCATCCATATTTGCCACCCTGCTAGGCTTATAGCATTTGGCAAAATGCCCATGGTGGTCATCAATTCAACACGTAACATTTCGGGCGAAACAGGGCTGTTAATAATTGGACGAAAGTTTGTCGCCGCAAAAATAGCATGGCTTGGAGTCTATTGGCGGACCCTTCAAACGAATTGTGATCGATTGTGCGCGAGTGATCCGATCTGATAATTTTATGTTCTGCGCCGAGAATACCGGCTCCTGTTTGATTGCGAAGGTTTGAGACGAATTGTTTCCAGACTGGGCTTGCGAGTGGAAGAAAGAAGCTTATTGGAGGTGTTTTTGCAGAGTAGATGCTGTTTGGGTTCTCTTTGTCGCACCTGGACGAATACACAATTCTGTCTGGATATCCTTGAACCTCATCTTGGCGATGAAATTATCTCTTACCACTTTAATGCCCGAAACCAACCTCACAGCGCGGCCTCGTCTGTCAGGTTAAGGAGAAATGACTCGGTCGGTATGTAACGTGTTATAGAATTATCGATAACAAAGTTTATCGATAACAAAGTTCTTCTCTTTCTTGAACAGGCGTTCGTCGCGCCTTTCAAAGCAGGCCTTGATCGCAATTGCGCTACGATCGGCGTGTTAATATTTTTGTGATAATCTTTGTCCCTCGGTACGCGATGAGAAACTTGTTCTTGTTTTGTCTTTTGGTCTGCTGCAAAGAAATATTCGCCGGGAGCTACCCTTGGCTCTTTTGCTCACCTTTCATTATTCGCTTCTTTCGTTTTCCTCGCTGCTGCAGCGCCACGGGCTATCCTATTAGTTGTTTTTGTATCACCTTCATCACTCCCGAGAGTTTCAGGTCTGGGAGAGAATCATCATGAAATGTGCCCGGAGTCTTGAGTAATTCCTTAAGTTCGATTTTCTCCCGAATAGTAATCTCTTAATTGAATCCTTCTGGTACGGTAACTGTTGGCTGAGCCATTTGATACCTTCATGATGTGATACTCGTGCCAAGTGATAACATTCGTTTTTGTAAATAAGTTGATTAAATAGAATAGATTAGATATTAGTGTCATGACAATTACATAACTAGAATTCAACTTAAATCTGCTATAAGCGGGAGAGTGAGAGTAGTTTCTAGCACCAAAGTTTTAATTGAGAATGGTGATGGCTGATTTTTTGTGCTGGTGCTTCGCTACGAGGCCAAACTGTGTATTTTGAGAATTCTAAGCGAATTCCGCTATAATACCGCTCGTTTTGGTCTCTTTGATCTCGGTTTGCTTTGATTGTGCCGACAAAAATTTTTTATGTTCAGAGACTCGTCACCTACACACACCAAATAGTGCGCATATCCAGTGCGCAGGTTGGTCTCGTAATGTTATTTGTTTGGTACCGCGACAAATCGCTACAAAGGACAACTAGCAAAACTTTAGGAACATGAAAACCCACGTTTAAAATTAATTAAATTAAAGAATTTCAGCTAACATCATCAATTTTGGGTATAAATTCCTTGCCTCTGTTGGTAAGCTCGCAACTCGCTGGTGTGACTGCAGCATTGCGAATTTTGCCAGTTGTCTTCTATTGCGAGTTGTTTTCGTCGGGAGTTGCCGTATTACGTATTTGCTTAATCGGTGTACTGATATCTTTAGGGTCAGGTGTGGATGGAGGCAAATGAGGCGTTCCACGAGGCACTGAGGATCCACTGTCAGTTGATTGGAGGAACCGAGGACCAATTGGTAGATGGTGACGACGAAGTTCGCATGTTCCAGGTTAGATGCATAACATATCTACGTCATCATAATTGATAGTTGTGATCATTTGATTATCAATGATAATTTACGCAGTTTTCGTGTAACCTGAGGGACATAATGAAAACAAAAAGAAAAAAAGAGGACAAAAAAAGACAAAGAAAAAAAGATAATGAAAAAAAGATAATAGCTCAATCAAATGGCAAATAAAATGTAATTCAAGCTGCGAAACCTGGATCAATTGCTGTTACTGACACGTATGGGGTAGCAACAGTGTCCTTCACTTAGAGAGATGCAAGCAAATCATTTTAACATTGATAACATTAGAAGTACGCCTAATAAAACAGAAATTATTATCTAGCCATATCAACAATGATGAGCTGCAATGACACCATTAGCTCATGGTCGGTCTATATTTTCTCTCGAATTAAAAAAACGTGCGTTCATTGTTCCTCGTTTCAGACGTTGAGGCTGTGTAGGCTGGACATGATAATAGGTGGATCCCATATGTTGATGATAGAGAATGCAGCCATAGTCAACTCTCTTCTCCAACAGTTCATACTGGAGCCCATACTAGGTTTGCGTTTCTGATAGAAAGATTTACAGTTAACCGTACAATCTCCCCCCATAAGTGACCTACCGTAGAATCTCCCCCCCCCCCTAGCCACGTATTAAATTTGAAAAATGATTTCGTATAAAATATTCATTTCAAACAAAAAGCGCAGAATAGACTGCTTGAGAAAACTTTTCAAAAGAAATACCTATTTTATACTGTTATTAACCAAATTATTATTCAGTTGTTTTTGAAATAAATTTTTTGGTTCTTAGATCAATTTAGTTGCCCTAAAAGTTGATTTTTGAAAAACGAGTATTTTATCCCCCCTAAACTAATAAGGGGGGGGAGGGGGGATTGTACGGTTGATCGCATTTTCATGTGCAATCACTTTTCAGTTAAGTTATTGGTGTTACTGAGTGTTTTTGTATGTTATAGTGTGAATTCGGTAACTGGTTCCAAATTGTGCGTGGGTAGTCAAAAAAGGGTCTGCTTTAGATGAGAAATGGTATGCACTAAGGCTTTCAAGTTTATTGGAAATGATGCATGTTTTTACATTTGCGAGCTTAGCGTATTAGTACGAACCTTCTTTTTCCCCAAGCTAACTCACAAACAAAAGTGTTCTTTGAAAGTGTTTATTTAAGGCTAGTGTTTCTGGTTTATTACGCGTCCGTGGCTGAGTGGTTATTGCGTGAAAATTAAAATATTTAGGTCGCAGATAGCATACGAGACGTAGCCGAATTATTACTACAGTCACGAGACATAAAGTTTGCCACTTTTTGAATTCAATAAGCAAATGAACGTTTTATGCCATTTTGTCTGCAACTATTCAAGATATAAAATTGAAATTTTGACATATGCTAGATGCAGTTAGTCGGAAGGGCTTAGACCTGCCAATATATCAAACGTAGTTTTTAGAGGTATTCTTGTTGTGGAAATATCCTCACAAACAATATAAGGAATTTTAGTTAACGGGCTCAAACTAGTTATTTGAGAAGCTTTTGAGCTAGGCTTATTATTCAGGCCGCCATTATTTGACAGTTAAGTGAATTTGAATTGAAAGAGCTATTTGGTCCGGCGTAACAAAACGGCCAAAAGTTTCGTGAATGGTTTTGCGCTGATGATCGAAAAAAGTCAACAAAAGAATTGTTCCAGCGAGTAATTTGGAAAAATTACTGCTCCAATCGATGCTCGGGTTTCTAATTAGCAGTTCTGTTGAGCGTAATTTTTGTCCAATGTTCTGGTATAAATTCTCCAGAGCTAACAAACAGCTCTTTCAATTCTCTTAACTGTCAATTTTTGGCGGCTTAAGAAGTATCTAGAATATGTAAAGTTTTCAATCTTATTTCCTAAAAGGATGCAGCGAAAATGGCAAGAACATAAAGAAAATTTTCGTTCATTTGCTCGTTGAAATCAAAAAAATTGCAGCTTCTATGTCCCGTGGCTGTAAGTCGAGGCTTATTAGTAATTTTTCTTATTGCACTTTATAAAGCTGATTTTATTGTGTTCTCGCTTGTGTTAGCGAAGCACAACTTCGCCTCTGTGTAAGAGTTTTGTGGGGATATATATATTGTTACATCAGTTCAACGAACGCTTTTATACACAAGCAATGCTTGTGTTATAGTATGAACTCTTTTTTTTCCAACCTAAGACGCAAATATTGTTGCGATAAAATATGTTCATTTTGAAAGTGTTCATTTTGATCAATAACCAGCTATTACGTACAGCCAATGCTAAGGATTTTAACAGAAACTTTTTTGTTCCGACTTTCGTAACGAAAAAAAAAAACGGAATATTTGTGATCGGGGTCGTTTTATTTCTTCGGACAAATTTCGACTTTTTAACTAGCAATTTTTGACGGTATTTTTTATATCATTCAAAAAGTATTGTTGTAATGAGCTTAAATTTGGAAAGATATTTCACCTGTGATCATTTTTTGTAAATTTATGGGGGTATAAAATTGCCAATTTGGGACAATTAACGCGCGATATATTTCGCGCTATTAACGAATAAGCGGAGATTTAATCCGTCAAAGAAATCGTTCCAAATTGGTTGAAGGAAGTTTATTTACCATAATTGATATATTACCAGGAGCAAAATTTATCACTTTGTACTTAATATGGCGTGCGGGGGGGGGGGGTGATTTTCTCAAAAAGTTTCAATAAAAATTTTCTTTTTTTAATTACATTAAAGTTTTTCATGTTACTACTGCTCCATAGACTGCTCTATTACTTGAGGCATGTTTGTTGGTAATTTTTTTTTTCAAATTAACTCGTACTGCTTATGCGTAATATTTGGTGTGCGAAATTTTGTAGACGCAAAGTTTTATTCATTCAGTTTTTCCCAGTAGCGTTATCGGGCATATTTTTGCATGTGTATGCGAAGTGCAACTTCGCCTCTGTGTCAAACATTTGATTAAGCCAATTGTTAAACAAATGGTGATATCGGGCATCAATGTCACGTATCAAAAATTTAGCTGTTTACGTTAAACCAAAAAAAAACCATAATATATTTTCGTAGGGCGTCGTTATGATATCAGTATTTTCGTAGGGCGTCGTTATGATATCAGTCGTTATGATGTCAGTATTAGGTTATGAGCTTTTTAAGTATTTTTAAGTTAATTTATGAGTTGTGTTCAGACGAAGCAGATTTCGCCAAGTTCAACTTCCCCTCAGATTCTAAAGACGTGCAGTTGGAAGAACAGGTCAAAAAGGCGAATTCGGAAATTGTTCGGAAATCAGTGCTGTTCCACAAAGATAGATAACGCCCATATCACTCAAATAATAAAATGACAAGTATGCCCCAACACAACATATCTCCAGAGCTGCCATCCCGTCTCTGCTGGCAGAGCAAATATATCGTCACACCGTTTTGTTTTGTAGAAGCTATTGAAGTTACAAATTTTAGAAGCTTTTTGGATTTAGAATTTTTATTTTCAGTTATATTAGTTAAACGTATCTTCTGATCTGAACTTTTTGAACCTCATTTAGAAATCTGATATTGCTGCGTTAGTCATTTTTCCCCTAAGAAAAGACGCATTTTTGTAGCAAAGCTTCTGTTGGGCTTAATCTTCAGGAGCTGCATCTGGCTAATACAGGCATCTGTGGCTTAGTTGAAGTTTGGCAATATGCTAAGCAGAAGGATCGTTTATTGTGGTGCCGTTATTGTTCCGACCATTGAAAATGGGGATGAACTTTGTATTCGGGTGTGATTTTTTTAAGAATGAATTAGAAGTGGTAGATAACTCTCTCGCTCATTCATCCATGTAAAGTAAATTACAGGCTAGCAGCAAGACCAGGTATAATCAACAGTTTAATTAGAGAGCGATAAAAGTGAAGTAAATCAACGTCTATTTATACGGAAAGTTAACCGCGTGTTGAGATCTGATCTCATGGTATGATATCGCGTGACATCGTGCGATATCCAATCATCTTCTTATTTTGAACTAAAAAGTGGGAAGTGACTTCTCTAAAAAGTGAGAAGCCATTTCTCCCAAACTTAACACTCCTCCTTTCAAAATAAGTACTGATCATAGCCGACACTAGTCTGGAGGTTCAGTTTTACCATGTCCCTTACGATGTTTGTTGAGAGCTATTTGTTGACAGTTTTTTTTCTGTCCTAGCTCAAATACCCTGATCAATTTGCCTGCTCTTTCTACTCACCACTATCTTTGAACCTAACTTCATGTCCAGACTCTGAAACTTCTTAACCTCGCATAAGTTTCTCGACTCCTTACCTCGTTCGTCGATTGACATTTTAGTTTTTGGATGGGCTCTAGGCTCATTTTTCAACTCTACCTCCTTCATTTTATCATCGTCCTTTATCATCAAGTTCTCATTTTGCACACTAAAATTCTCAATCTTCTCTTCTGTCTCTCTGGAAAAATAAGTCCTATTGACTCTGAACTCTGAAGAGTTATTTTCCGCTTTATCAACACTTAATTTTTCGTGATTTCCAAATCCTATTTTTTTCTAAATATAAAGATTTCCTCGCCCACTTAGCGGGTAAATGGTCCCATTTCCTTGCTCATTACATGATTTTTCTACAAAAACTACCTAAGCTCCTCCTCTAGTAAGTTGTGAGACAGACACTAATTTTTCTGAGTTTTCTGGTACAAGAAACAATCACTCATTGAATTTTTTTTTTCAAATTTCCTTGATTCTCTCACAATAAACAACTCATCCTTTACCTAAAATATTAGACCCCATTTTCTTAGCGTTTTCAACAGTTTCGCTAAAACTCTGGTCCAGCTCAACAAATAAGTTCCTATACTTTATAATACTGCAAGTTGCCCCTGAATCTGTAACAAGGTCACAGTGGAATCGGCTGAGTTGTAAAAGCTAAAATAACTTTCTTTTGTTTCAGCCAACTGCTACTCTTCTCTCACGCTTTTTCTCTCGATGACCTTTTTATAATCCCTAGCTGTTTCCTCTTCTAAGCACTTGAAAAATTCAACAGGAGGTCTATCACTGGATAACTGGTTAATTTTCTTCACTAACTTAGATCTACAATGAGCTGCCATGTGACATGTCTCCTACACCTAAACATGTTTATGTACTTGAAATAAACAAATGTTTAGTCTCCTTCTCATTTCTATGTTCACTTTCATAGTTTAACACGTCTTTCTTAATTTCGTTCAATTTCTTATCATCTTCGCTAAATTTAATGAAAGTACAAAACGTATTGAACTTTCTTGGTAGGCCTTTAAGAATGATTGACAAAATTATCTCTTCTCTTAAACCATCGTCTACTTATCTAATTTATACTGCAACTCTCCAGCTCTAGTGATATTGCCGACTACACTCTCATTAGCTTTCATTCTTTTCGAAGTAAAATCTGAAATCAATTGCACAAAATTTCCCAAGCCTTTCTTGCCTTGCCTTCATAAGGTCTTAAAAACACAACCAAATTTTTTTCTGAACTTTGAACGAACTCATATCAAACCTAGATTTCTTTTTCACCTAAAATTTCTCTCTCTTTTCTTAAAGATGTCTCCCTCTGTTCTACAGTAGCATTATTTCAAGCACTTGATGCAAAATCTTTCTCATCTACTTCTCATGATAACTTTATTCAGTTTAAGATGAAAAATTCTAGCCTCATATTGCTCTGCAAAATACAAAAAATCTTCTTTTCCTGAAACACTATTCTCCCTGACTTAGACATTTTTAACCTAAACCCTATTGCTCTGAACAATTACCTCATGTTCCACGTACTTTTCAATGACAAAAATTCAGTCTATATGATATCAGCAAACATATCACAGCGCATAATATAAGTAAGTATGTATCTCATTACCTAAATCTGATCCAAAACCTAACGGTAAGCGTACTGAATAACTCATCAGTGATTCAGCAAAGCTAAGTTGACTTCACAGACTTCATACATAGCAGTATATATTAACAAAACAGAAATTTTGGAGTGTTTTTTGTGGAAATTCTATTCTTCAAAGCAGGATCGAGTTCAGATCTCGCAGCGATGGATTACGATTCCCCAAGCAACAACAATTTTATAAAATACCACATCAATTGAGTGTATCAAATTGAACAGTTTGTCAGTTTCTATCTATCACCTTTTTTTCTCTCTCTCTCTCTCTCTCTCTGTATCTCTTTCTCTCGTGTGCTTCGTAAAGCTTTCCTTGTGACTCCAGATTTCACTGATCACTGAATTGTCTCAAGCCCTGTCTCAATGACTCTTCGTTTTGCTCTGTTGTCAATCTGCCAGTTCACTATCTTTTTTGTGACTTTTTTCCTCAGTTGTCGTTCGTGTGACTTCTGACACGTCTCTTGGCAGCTGAGCCCATAAACTTTCACAGGTTGGCAGCAAAACTGAGTATAATCAACAGTTTAATTAGGGAGCGATGAAAGTGTAGTAAACCAACTTCTATATAAATTCGGGTGTTTTTTTTAGATTGAAGTAGAAGTGGCAGATTACTCTCTCGTTCACTTATCCATGTAAATTACTCTGAACTTTGTCGGGTGTGCTTTATTTGTTTTTGTTTTTCACGCAAAATATGTACCGCAAATAACCATCGAAGTGGGTTGAATGATTTATCATATTGAAACCCTTTCTGTCGTTATTTGAACCACATTAAAAGTTGTCCAACATTTTTTTTTAGTTTTGAGAAAAACCGGTTTGAACTTTTCGATTTCTTGTCTTAATTAGAGTCAATAAAGCAAGCGAACAGGCTTACAACAGCTGAATTATGCCAAATTCAAGACCTTAAAATTAAATTTAAGTAAGTAAAACTAGTTATTGGAGCTTCATTTTGTGAACCAAAAAGTTTTGAAATTATTCTTTATAAAGTTTTTCTAAGTCATTTTTCTTTATAAGGTCTAAAAAGCCTAATTTTGATTTTTACTTCAGATCCTTTTATCACACCAAGCCGAAAAAACTACACTCATTTGGAATTTTTTTCTAAACCGTAGTTTTCTAAAGATTATGGTCGGAACATTCTGTACTATTTGCAGAGTAACCGGCTATCCTTGTTTTCAAATATTGAATCATTTGAAATAATACAAAGCTTTTTTACTTAACTTTATTAATGTTTTTTTTAAAAATACTTTTTAAAGCTAAATAAAAACTTTTTTTTTACTTAAGGATTTTACTTAGCTTTTTCCGGAGTTTACTTATTTCATTAATAATTAGTTATGAGAAACGCCATCGCAAATTGGAGTTGTCTCTAATAACCAGTGAAAAAATATAGGTTGAATAAATATTGCCATCTAAGTAAGTTATAAAAGGGATTTTGTTTCGATTGCACAAGCAAAGCTTGTGTGATAGTATGAACTTTCTTTTTTCCAAGCTAAGTCGCAAATATAAGTCTTCATTTTGAAAGTGCTCATTTTGATCAGTAACCAACTATTAAGTTTAGCCAATGCTAAGAATATCAACACAGACTATTATATTACATAGCAATTTAGCTTCAAGGCATCATGGATCTGTACCGTAGAGGTAGGGAAGGAGACCAGCAGCAAAATAAGAGGGTTCGAACCTGGGCAGGGTCGGATGTTTTTAATGAACTTTTTCGTATGCTATTTTAAATGCGTACGATCTATAAAATGAGGCATGTTAGATGCTAGATTTTTTTCTTCAAATTGACTGGTACTGCTAATGCGTCTTAATTGGCTTGCGTCCCTTAGCAATTGTATAGACTAATAATTGGCGTGAGTCACTTATGTAATATTGTAGACTCAAAGTTTCACTCATTCAGTTGTTCCGAGTAGTGTTATCGGTCCTACTTTTGCTTCTGTATGCGAAGTGCAACTTCGCCTCTGTGTTAAAATTTTGTAATGCCTTTCTGAATATGAATAAATAAAAGTATTTCTTGCTTGTTTTTTTGCTAATATATGCATAAAGCAACTCGGATCTGATTGCATGGAGCTGACGCTTGGCTGAAGTTTAAATTTTCTAGACATGTATCTAAGACAAATTGATCCAAGACAACTATCGCCAAAAGAAAATTTTGGAACTAAATGTCTGGGGATGTTTTTTGGGGCATTTTGCCGTCTTAAGAAAACTTTGTCGAAAATTCAAAAATCTGCAGAACTTGAAAAAAAATTTCGAAATTTTTTTTTTGATTTTTTCTTTTTAAGTAATTTTTCAACAAAAATTGTTTTTCAATTTGCTGATTTTACTATGACTGTCGAATATACGTGATCTCCAGTTTTTTTGTTCAGTTCCTTTTTTTACACCACGCCAAAAAAAATGGCAATAATTTGAAAAATCTCTGTTGTATTTTTTAAGATTATGGTCGGAACATTTTGTGCTACTTGCACTTTAACCGGCTATCCTTGTTTGCTTATGTAATTGTTTTACATAGATTACTGTTGTTGAAACTTTCAGTGTAACTAGCATAGCGATGGGGTATCCTTGTTTAGCAGTGAGAAGCCTTTATAGTGAAAGTTGTTCTCCTATTTGTAAATTTACCAACTCTACATTTAAATAATTTCCTTTTTTTTTCCGTTT